ATCTAAGATTAAACAAATAAATGGCTAGCTTTGACAACTGAATCATAAATAGGAGAATGATTGATATCATTTCAAAATTTTATTCTACCTTCTGAACAAAAGCTTGCAGACTATTTAAAGCTAAAGTCAGTATGTTAGGCATAGCATGTTGGAGATTGAAAAGACAGATGTAGTTTGTAGATTTATTTTGTCTGGCATACAGTTGCTTGGATCCAATGTTTAAAAATTGGAAGAATTCTTGTACAATGTGATTTTTCAGATTATCTGAATATGTCAGCCACCATGGTAATAATAGCCTCAGAATCCAAAGGAGCTGTGGAACACATGCCTTATTTACACAGGACCTCGAACTTTCCAGTGTTTTTCCAGATCCTGCTGGTATTATAGTTTTAGAAGACATAGCAAAAGCTAATTTGAATTTCACTGTCACACTTAACCTGTTCTTCTTGTTATAATTCACAAATATCTCTCTGTATACATCTCTCTCTCAAATCTGACAAAATGAAATATAGAGATCTTAGACTTCCTCCATTTTATTTTCTTGATTTACACGTTGCCTTAGTCCGCTTTGTGTTACTGTTGTGGAATACTTGACACTGGGTTATTTGTAATATAAAGGACGTTATTGACTTACAATTCTGGAGTATGGAAAAGTCAATATCAAAATGCTAGCAGAAAGTAAGGGCCTTTCAATTGCATCCCAAGGTGGAAATTAAGAAGGGGAAGGAGAAAAGGCACTCCTAAAAGCCAATTTTTAAGGACATCAAATCCATCCTCAAGAGCAGAGCCCTTATGCCCCAATCAACCTTATGGATTTCAATCCCTGTACTGTTACATGGGTGGTTGCATTTTTACACGAGTTTGAGAGAACAAACATTTCAAGTATACTATGGGCATAGGAACTTCTCGTATGTGCTATGTCATTTGATTATTTTTATGTACATGAAAATAACTGACACTTACACAACTGAGTCATACTTTGATATTTGGAAGCACAACCAAAATAAACCCATTGCCAACAAAGGATATATTCTATTATGACCATAAGTAAATTCTAAATGATCAATTAGAAAAAAATATTACAGTAGCTGGAAGTCTTCTCACTTCCTGAGATTACTACATTCTGAAACTCTACATTAATTCAGACATTTATTTGGAAACTTACTCTTCAGTTATGCTCTGACTCTTTGATGCAAATATTTATTTTTCACTTAGGATAAGTACCTATAAATACTAGCATGTACTATGTTAAGCCATATATTAGTTGATTCCTTAATTTAACTATGAAGTTCTGTATGGAGGACAAACACATTTGTCTGTATTTCTATTTAATAACTCTCCTAATTTTGGATGAACAAAAAAAGACTATGAACAGCTCTGCATTTCTGAAATAAAATGTGCATTTCATTAATTAGTTTTCGGTTCTTAAGGGAAAGGAACTGTAGTACTTACTATGTACTTAGGAGACAGATAATTGGCATTTGAAGGATTGAAGGATTTGAGAAGAGTGTCATTAACGAACTACAGCAAGGTCGTTACTATTGTCAAGCCAACAGAGCTCTGGATTGTGAGCAATATAAATGCTGACTCAGGTCCTCAAATTTGTCTTGAATACATGGTTAATTTGGTACAAAGTACTTACGCTTCTTATACCCAAGTTTCCTCATTTATAAAATGAAAATAGTACTTTTCTCACAGTCCTGTGAAGATTAAATAAAAACATTGATTAATCACTCTTGGTATCCTTGTTAGTTTTGTAATTCAACATAAGCATATCTTAACTTGTCTCCAGGTTCTTCAAATAGATTTATTATTTTGACCAATTATTGTCATTGGAAACTCCCATGTGTATTCTTGGGTATAATTCTAATAAGACAGGAAATAGTAACTTTGAAGGAATATTTAATTTTGGACCAAAAAACTCTATACATTTATATGAAATTCTATATCACAGCAAAGAAAATACATTATTAGTGTTTGGGGATTTACTATTTTTCTCTGACACAGCTAGTAAGTTGTGTATCCAGTATCTAAAAATCTCAAATTATGATTATAGTTCATTGGTAAGGAAATACATTTTTTGGCTTACTAATACTTCTGGTTAGAGTGATTTTTAAAGCTAACCTCATTGCATTCTGACATGTATTAAATCCAGATTATTTATAGCACAAACTGGGTAACACCAGAAAACATTCAAGATGTAGGTTACAACTCAGCTTATAAAACATAAATTCTCTACAGCTAGCCATATTTAGATGGCCTGAATATGTACTTGAGTAAGTAACATTAGAAAAAATATTTTCTATGCCAAAGTTTTTCATAATAGTAATCTGATGATATTGAAATGATGTTTTTGATATTTTCTCTTTAGGAATACAGAACATGAGATAAATTACTGGGTTGAGTTACAGTCCCTGCCACTAAATCTAGGCTTAGCAAATTATGGTAGTTATTATTCCCAGTGAAACACAGTGAGCATGCAAAGGGTATGTAATGAGGTTGTATAGTGGTTTGAATTATGTTCCTCTAAAAATCATGTTGAAGTCATAACTCCAAAAACCTGGGCATGTGATCTTTTGGGGGAAGTAGGGTCACTGTTGATGATCCTGTTAATGAAGCTAATTAGTTAAAATCACATTTTTCTGTAACATTGTGTTTAGTTCAAGAAGATTCATAGAAAAGAGAAATTTAGAGGCAGATACTGAATCTCCATTGAGGACAGAGGTGGAATCAAAATCATATAGCACACACTGGCCTACACCAGTGACTGTCAAATCGCATGAAATGAGGGACCACTCAGAACCAGTTTTCCCACCAAGTACTTGGAAGAGAACCAATGTTGATTTTGAAATTCAAGCCTGCAGAACTGTGAGATAATAGATATATGTTGAATAAGGTACTAGCATCGTGGTATGTAAGCCTTAGTAAACTAATATAAATGGTAAATAGTAGTTAACTACAAATAAATAATCAGGATTTTTTTTTTTTTTCAGAACTGGGGATTGAACTCCGGCCCTTGCGCTTGCCAGGCAAGCACTTATTCTACTGAGCCATCTCCCTGGCCCCAATAATCAGGATTTTAAAAATATTTAAATTTTTCTTTTTTGACAGGCCAAGCTTAATGTTTAATAGTTGTAGCAAATTGCACACATATACATACATATTTTTATTTCACAGATTTAACAAGCAAAAGAGGTACTAAATATATAGTAACACAAAAGGAAATATAGATATTATCAAAATTAAATAAGTGGAAGCAAAGATGTAGTATAGATTGTACTCATGCTTTAAGAAAACAAGAATTCTATGGAGTAAAAAATTAAGGCAAGAAAGCAGAATGTAATGGCAAGTGAGGCAGGCAAAATAAGGGAATAAATTACAGAGAAATAACACTCAAATTCTACAAAATGGAAATGAAGCAGAAAAGCCATAATCAATAGTGTTGAAAGACAGTCAGTTCTACGGAGTATGGGCTTAATGAAATCATGCAGAATGAGGAAGCAAGGAACAAAGAAAGCCATTCAGTTCATGTAAAGAACACAATGGTCAATGGACAGAAAAGAGATCTCAAATAGTAAAGCTCTACTTCACCTGAAAGACTAGAGAAAATGAAACAGGAAAGTTTTGCAAGAAAAAAAAAGGAAGAATATTTCAATGAAGCAAAAGAAAACAGGAATTTTTCATAACAAATTTATATTTATTTCAGATAAAAGTGAAAACAATTTGATGATGATGACTTGTATTATCACCAATCTCCTTTCCTCTTTTTTCCCCTGGGCTTAGTTCAAGTGATTGTTCTTCAGACCAAAAGGGACTTACATTTCCCTACTTCAATGATGATAAATTTGACCTAATGACTTGTTATGACCACAAAAATATGTGAGGAAAAGGCAGCATGTAATTTTTAACCTGAAACATTAAGGGATCTAATTTTTAGAATCCTATGTTCCCACAAGATCTGCAGTGTTCTGGTCTTTATGATTTCCATTCAGATCATGTCAATCCTCAGCTCACCCACTGGTACAGAGAGCATAATGTGCAAGAGTGGAGCATGGGATGCCCACTGCAGGGGGCAGGTTTCTGCTCAGCTGGGTCACCCCAGCAAGGCCCTGACTCACCCACTAGCATGTAGTCATAAGTCTCAAGTGATATCTGTCCTGGCATTTTTGCAAAAACAGTGACAATTTATTCTATCAATAAGAAAATATCTCATTGAAGGGCCTTCCAGACAGGTCAGTGGGCCAAAGCACCTGCTTAAGGAAGTGCAGGGACTGGGATTTGATCCCATGTATGCCATTCTGGCCCCACCCCCAGGGTGTGCTGAGAGAGGACTTAAACTGGGCATGGTGGCATGCACCTGTAATCCCAGCACTTGGGAGGCTGAAAACAGGAAGATCACTATGAGGCTGATCTATGTAGTGAGACCCCATAGACCCTGTACTAAATACATAAAAATGAATAAATAAATAAATGCATGAATAAATCTCTTTGAGCCTGTTAAACTTGACCCTAGAGAAATAGCCTTTATTTCTCTACATTACTAAAACTCAAGAGAAATGCAAACTACATAAATCAGAAATTAATAGTACAAAATACTGGTGATAGAATTGAATTGTACTTACAAACATAGCATTATGTCAACTTTGCTACAATAATTATGGATATTATGTTATTTTTGAACTTGTAAAGCCCTATTATCGATTATATCAACTTATCTATAAAACCATGAAAGAGAGTTATTTGAAAACAAGGATAGTTTTTCTAACAGTGTTATTGCTTTACTTTTTTAAAAAGGTATTTGAAACAGGGTCACACTATGCAGCTCGTACTCATAGTGATCCTCCTGTTCTTAACCTCCTCAGCACTGGGATGATAGGCTTGTGCCCCACACATGGTCTCTGTGGACAACTCAGAGGGCCTGGGGTTGGGGATGGTGCAGCATGTGGTGCCAGGAATATAGATTACTTTACTATTAACAAAGAATTCAGTATTCCTTTCTTAAGGGGAAAGCACAAAGGCAGTTCCCAACTTCCATAAATTACAATTCTGTTTTCCACATTTGGGGAAATTGCAGAGGTCATCATATGCCAAGGGCTAAGGATAAGCCCTCATCCTGTGAAAACCATCTTCGTAATCATGGCATCCCCCTGCTAGGTATTGAAGTCAGCATTTTTGCTTTGTTTTTGATGTGTACGAATCAAGAAACATAGGGATAAATACAAATATAAATAAATCTGCTTATAGAATAAAACACTATAATTTTCAGATTATCAGAAGAAAATAATAAAATAATACAAATGAGAAGCATACGCTTAACAATAACAAAATGACTTTTGTAAAACTAAAATAATAAAAATGACAAGAATCTATTCATACATAAATTTAAATGCTTTAGAATCTGGAAAATATAATGTCATTCACTTTTATGGAGTTGAATAACTCCACTGTGTGTTGTGTATAAAACAATACACCTAAGAGAAAATGATTTAAAGTTTTCACATAAAACAATGAGAGCAATATGGATTACAATGTGAAAAGAATAGCAGTTGGTGCAATGCGAATATTGGAAGGAAAATAAAATGTGTAGAAAAAGGTAGCAAAATACTTAAATCAAAAGTGCTAGACATGTAAGGAAAATAAAGACAGAGAAATTGCATTTGCCTTTTTTTTGATACTTTAAAGAGGCCAGAAAATAAATGAAAGAAAGGAAGGAAAAAAAAGAAAACAAAACACATATAGTAGTGCACATAGACACATTACAATCTAAAACAAGAAAACAGAAAGGACAAAGAAACGCTGTATGGTTCAGAGAACATTAGAAAAATAAACTACATGAGCAATTAAACAAAACTAATGTAGGAATATAGAATACTATATGAAAAAGAAGATAAGACTCATAGATTAAAATGAAATCATTACCAAATATTTAGAAAATTAATTATGATGGGCTCATCACTTTTTTATAGTCTATAGAATATGGTATCAGTAGATTGAGGAAAAATGTATAAATTTAAGTATTCTCACTAATGAATGAGAAGGTGAAAACTATTGTAGCATTCAAATAAAAAATAAAATGGTCATGTTAGTAATTTAAGGAATGCGATGATAGCTATCTCAAAATATTGGAGGAAACAATTTGATTAGATTTGACAAGTGAATATTTTCCAATGAACTTGTTCCCAGCTATGTACTAGGCACTCAGACTGTACAAATCACAGGCCAGGCAATTCTCAAGGAAGAGCTCAGCTCAGCCTTCTTTAGACTGCTCCAGAGTATGAGGTAGAGATAAATATTTCTAACTACTTTAAGAGCTCAATTTAAATTGAAGTTAATATTTCATTTAACATTTAACCTGAAATTCTCTTGCTTTTATCAGTCTTCTTACAACTTTAAAGACAATATTGTCTCTATTATAGTTTAGATTCAAAAACCCAGGGGCAGGAGTGAATTCAGTGATAAAGTGTTTTTCTAATGCAAAAGCAGGTTCAATCCCCAACACTGCCAATACAAAACAGAACAAAACAAAGCAGAATATTTTTCTCACTTCATCTTTTTGTTGAGTCTTACTGAGGACCTCTTGTCATAGCTTGGGTTCTTTTCAATAGATAGATAGATAGATAGATAGATAGATAGATAGATATAGTATAGATATATATTTAAGAGATTGCAAAACCAAAAAGAAGTATATTGTTATCTTCAAAGCAGTTGCTCAGATTACCAAATATAGCCATGGAAAATTGATCAAGAAATATATGCACTAACTTTTTTCACACAATCCTAGCCTAAAAACGTTTTTAACTGAACAAACATAACTGTATGATTCAGTAAACTAAATCTTAAAGTTTATTCTCTCATGTAACGCTATTGCTATAATAATATGTAACATTTTCTCCACTCCAAACCTTCCTGGTAGCGCTTTTCAGTTAAACCTGGACTCTGGTCTCCACTTAATTGGCTCCTATCATTGTAGCTTTGTCTTTTCTACAGACTTTCTCCAACTCTAAGATATATCTGCGGTGCTAACTGGCTGTTTTCCATATTATGTAACCCAGAACACAAGCAAGTCAAATATACATTAACTTGCCAATATGCAAGTTATCATATATTTGCTTTATGGAATAATTCACTTTTTAAAATGTGTTTGTTTTTTACAAGGTCTCACTATGCCACTTGGACTCATAGTGATCCTCTTGTTTCCAGCCTCCCCTGAGCTGGGATTGTAGGCATGTGCCACTACACCCAGGCTCTGTGACAGCTGAACCTGTCCTGGGGGTGGGGTTGGCATGGCATGTGGTGCCAGGGATTGAACCACGGTCCCTGCACTTGCCTAAGCTTGCCTAAGAAGGTACTTTAGCCCAGTGAGCTATCTTGCCAGCCAGAGTGATTTACTTTTTAAGAGACCAAGCTATGAAGAGAGAAGCATAACAGAATGTTTATTTAAAATTGAGTAACTAAATGTGGCAAATTCATCCTGCTCCCCATACCTGTTGACCAGCACCAAGGGTTAGTTATTGCCAAAGCCCAAGACAGTCTTTTACTAATAACAGTGGTAGAGTGTGCCCAGAAGTGTTTCTGTAGTTTCAGCCAGAACCTAAGACTTCTGGTAGATTGGACATTCAGATAATTTGTGCCATTTGGAATACATAATGAAACCATTAGCAGCTAGAAAAAGTCTCCCCAACACAATCTTGTTACAATATGTTGGCTACATTTACAAGCTAGCCATTGTGTGGGCTCTTCATTCGGGGAAAGTGGGAATTTCCATATTGATTCAGCTGGATGGATTTTTGAAATATAGTAGATTTCTGAAATAAAATGCTACAAATGTTACAGATGCTTCTTCTCGGGCTAGAAATTGGAAGCTGGAATGAGCAGATATGGATGCACAATATATTTGGTCATAGGCTCCTCATGATACTTTTTCACTTCTTCACTTGTTTGAATTGTACAGCGATGCTCCCTCTGGGCACAGGCAAGTATCTGCATTTGTGCTTACTGTAATTCTTTCACCTTACAAGGCACTCAGTATAAATCCTCCAAGTATTTTTCTTTCTTGAGCTTCAGCCAAGTTTCTGTATCCCTCAACTGAATCCTCTATGGTCCAAAGTGCAGACTGGAATTTGATTCAGTGCATTTACTCATGTCTACATTAGCCTGGCTTGAACAATTTAAAGCTAGGTATTTCCCTTGTGTTCTTTATTGTAAGGAACTTCAGACGCCTTGTGTTTAAACTGGATTAGGAATTACTCCAGATACAAATGCTTCAAAAGAATGGAAATACTTATTTCTTTACAATAAAAATCTTGACTTTAGACAAATATTCTAAGGAAATCCTGTATTTCTGTTGTAAACTAACAGAAGCCTACAAACTGACCATCCGAGCTTGCATATATGGCTTTGAGCTTGTGATTGTTCTCTCAGCAAAAGCCCAAGTGGAGAGGTCACTCATGACTCTTGCTGTTTTCATGACTGCTACAGGAAAGGATGCTGCTTGCTGCTCTGTGCTCGCTGCCTTCCTGCCTGCCAAATCATGAACTAATTCTCTTTTGCCATTCCACTCCCCAGTGACCTTCCCATGCTCTTCTTGGAGCCAGTTGACTAAGGACTGAAGTCTCTACCACCTGTAAACTTAAATAAATCTTTACCCCTTTTATTTATTTTATTTTGTTTTTTTGTTTGTTTGTTTTCTTTTTGTTTGTTTGTTTGTTTGTTTCCAGTACTGAAGATCAAACTCAAGACCTTGCACTTGCCAGGCAGGTTGCTGAGCTGACTCCCTGGCCCAACCCCTTTATTTTTGATGTCAGGTATTTTGTTTCAGGAACAGGAGAAAAGTAACTAAAATACAGAGAAAGCCTTAGCTAGTGGAGAGGAGCTTCCGAGTCTGCTCCATCTAGGGCACAGGCAAAATTCAATAACATCTGGTGGAAGGATGGAAAGAAAACAGCTCATGACCTTGGGACAGGAGCAAGAAACTTGCCTGCACTATGAGAAATGCTTCTAGGGGAGAAAACTCTCCTTCATAAGTTTTATTCAAGATGTAAAAACAAATTTGACTCTCATGAGGGAGAACAAAAGAAAGAAGGGAAAATCCCTCCCTATGAAGTCCTAGTCATTCCTCCAAACTCATCCTGGTAAGCACACACTTACACATCCACATCATAACACTAAGGAATATAGCAATGTATTCACAGCTCTCTACCACGTATATCAGCTGTTGTATGTGACACTATATGAATGATTTGATGTTCACCTGGCAATATGCTGGTCTTGCTTTTGTCCTACCCTTTTCTATCTCCAAGTCCTTCCTTTTGAAATAAAAATGTTTACTCTGTGTTGTTGTATCTTGATATTATGTAACTTGTTTTTTATATTTCTTTTACAACTCATAGCCAAGAATTTTCTTCTCTTGGAGGACACTTTAGACAGGGATTTTTGAACAATTATGAAATTGATAAGACTTTACAGAATGCATAAGTTTATTGAGACAGTGCATTCTCTATTATATACAGTATAGTTATGTCACATCTTTATATAAGATGAAACTAGGACCTTATTGTCTATATTTTGACATCTAATATAGTTTTAGCACATCTTTATATAAGGTAGTATTGTCTATATATTGATGTCTAATATGTCTAAGAAGATATATTTAGATGTCAAAGTGACTTGGGTTAAAATACAATGGTTCATCTTGAATAGCCTCTTGATTGGCTTGAGAAGTATGCAGGAGATGAGCAAAGTGCACTTCTGTGTGTGTCTAGGTGGGGTGCGGAAGTCTGACTTTTGGGGGTGCAGAGCTACATTGAGGTCTAGGCCTCTTTATCTCTGCTTCATTTACCTTGTCCTATGAGCAGCTTTGCTTACACAACCCCGACATGACGTTTCTGCCTTGGACACATCAGACTAAAGCCCAGAAAGCTCTGGAACCCTGAGCCAAATCAAATTCTTACTTAGGTTTCTCCTGTTAGATATTTTGTTCAGCAATGGAAAATCTTACAGATGCATATGGCAAAGAACACTAGGAATGTGAGTGGGCGCATACAATCTATTCGGCATTTCTTTTCTGTATGGAAAGCAGATTGTATGTGGACGGTGACAAGGATGAGAAGGAACAACTGAAAAGTAACTCACAATTGCTCAAACAAGGGAAGAAAATTA